TAGCTTATTTAAAAGCAAAAATTATATTACGTTTAGTATTTTTTTTTAATAAAGTTATAACATTATAAAGTTAATAACTTTTTACGCTACCTTGCATTTATAATAGTTATAACTTTATATATCTTAATATATATTAAGTTAAGAACCTTACTTAATTAGGCATAAACTCCCTACTTAATTAAAGTAAGGAGTTTGCGCTTAATTAAGTAAGGTTTTTAAACTATATATAAGTTAACAAACTCCTTGCCAAAAAAAATAATTAATGATTCCATTATTATACTATTTAAGCTATTAATTTTTTTATATTAAATTAATAAAATTAATATCCTATATATTATTAGCCCTTATATAATATAAATAATTATTATTATTAAAAATAAATAAGAAGTTTCCATTATTAAGATTTTCTTCTTTAATTATAAGAACTATTCCTTAAATAACACCTTCCTTAAGCTTTAAGAATATTTAATTCCATGCATTTAGCTTTTTAATTAAGATATCCTATCCTTTTATTATAAGATTAAGAAAGTTAAAGCCTTACCATCTTAATTATTATCTTATAGCACTATTAATATATAACTTTTAACTAAACTAAAGAATATTATTCTTAGAATTTCTAAATATATAGGTTCCCTTTATATAAATGCCAAAGGATTTCTTAATAGTCTTGCATATAATTAATATCCATAAGCCATATTAAGCAAGCTAAGTAAATATAAATTAAACATTATATATTAAATTCTTATTATATTTAATATTTATAATATAAGAATTATTAATATATTTATTAGCTTAATTAATAGGCTTAAAGCTATATTTAGCAATAATATACTTAATAAGCCCAGCCTTAAAAATATTATTATAAACCCTTTTATTAAGGATTACCTCCTTAATTAAAATTTAAGCCATATTAAGCATTTTAAATTTATAATTATATAACTTCCCGCCTTAAAAAAAGGCTGGGAGCTATATAATAACATTATAAATAAAACTATAGTTATTATGCTAAATAGCTTTATTAAAAATAAGCAATATCTTAATGCTTATTATATATTAATACTAACTTTAAAACTTAATATTAACTACTTCCCTATCCCTATATTTACCTATTCAATCCTTATAGTTAAAAATTAATTAATAAATATTATTTAAGATATTATTAAGCATCTTATTAAAAATCTACTTTATTACATTATAAAACTATTAAGTATTAACTTTGCTAGCTTTAATAATTAATAGCTTGCATTAAATCAAAGCATTAATTATAAAGACAATAATTTAAGCACTAAGATTATAATAAAATAATGGCATAACCTTATAATATTTAATATCCTTCTTATTAATAAATTTAATTTATATAAATAATAATATATTATAAAGAATAATAGTAAAGAACTTTATCTTTAAGTCTTTAATATTATAATAATTATAAAAGAGGAGCTTAATATAATTTAACTTAATATAAAAGCTAACTAAAAAAGCTTCCATTTACCTTTAAACCTTATAAGTATCTTAAAATTCTTATTAATTGCACTTAATGCATTAAATATAGTTAATTATCTTATAATTATTATATATTAAAATAATATATATCTTATAAAAGTCCTTATTTAAGCATAAGCGCTTTTTAAAAAGCTTATTATATATATTATAAATACTAAATATCTTGCCCTTATCCTTATATATAGCACTAGCTTAAAGAAAAGGGATTTTAAAAAACCTCATCTTAATGTGATTAATATTAAGTAATGATAGATTTAAGTCTTTGCCATTATAAGTAAATAGCTAATATATATAATATAAGAAAAGCTACTTAAATGCTTTATTAAGATTATTTTATTATAAAAAAAGGTATTTTTAAACTATTTATATAATAAACTGCTGCTTTAAGTTAAAGTTTATTTATTAAATATATTTACCTTCCCAACTAAATACTTTAAAGCATATTATAGTTATAAGATTTATAAACTAATTCTGCTTCCTATTAATATAATTCTAAACTTTACTTAAAAAATTAAAGTTATTATATTAAACTATTATCCTTAAATTATATATATATTATTAAAAATCTTAAATAGTAATTTCTTATATATAATTTAATAAATGATTTAAGGTTTAATATAATAAATAAATGCTTATACTTATAAATATTAATTTTAAAATATAAATTCATTAATTATTTAAAGTATAAACTCCTTATTTAATTAAGGTAGGGAGTTTATACCTAAAAAGAAATATATAATTCTTATTTTAAAGTTAAGCTAATAATATAATATTTTAAATATATTTTATAAAAAAAAGGTACCTATTTTAAGCGCAAACTCCTTATTTAATTAAGGTAGGGAGTTTACGCTTAATTAAAAATATATTTATCTTATTTCTTAGCTAAGCTAATAATGCAATATCTTAAGCATATTATATAAGGAATAAATGCCCATACCTATATTTATTAACCATAGCCTTAAATATATAAACTTTATATATAAACTTATTAATAAGCATATTAATTATATAAATATATATATTATTAAAAAAAAGGTATAATTTAAGAAGCTTTTAAAGAAAAGAGGTTTATTTATATATAAAGCTATATATAAGATATAATAATAAGAAGTAAATATATATTTCCTTCCCCTTATTAAGAAATAAACTAAGTATCTTTTTATAGCTTATATATTGGTTTTAAAGAAGCTAAAAAAAAAGAAGAAGTAAGTTTAATGCTTTTTGCTTTATAGCAATTTATATACAGTTAATATTACGCTAAATATAATTAGTTTTAATAATAAAGTTTAAAGTTACTTTTAAGCCGCTTAATATACTTAAGAGCTTATTCTCTTTCTTAAATAAGCTAAAGATTAAGAATAATCCTTTATTTATAAGGCTAGCCATCTCCTTTTATAAAGATATAACCAAAGGAATATCTTCTTTTTCTTTATTTAAATTATATATTATAACTTTAAATAATTTAAGCATTGTATAAATAGCAAAGTATTTTAAAGCATTCTTTATTATAAATATATAATGCAGATCCTTTAACCATTTAATAAGAAACGCTTATAAATTATAAAACCCATTATCTTTTATATCCCTACTTATATTTCTATAAAGCTTTTTTTATAATGCTAAAGTCTTAAAGATAATATTTTTTAGCAATATCTTTATGCCCTCCTTATTATTAAGATTTTAATTATTATAAAAAGAGCTCTTAAATAAACTTTCTTTATAAATAGCCTTTAGCTTAAAATTTAGTTTTATAGCATTATTTATATTAGCTTAAGGACTTTTATAACCATGCTATATTGCTTAAATTAAGTTTATAGGAAGTAATATATTTAATAAAAGAAGAAATAGGTTTAATATATTAATATATAAATAGTTAAATGCAAAAGGAGTTATTAAGTGCTAATAAGCTGCTTAAAAGTTTACATAAAGCTAGGAATTTATATGCATTAAGTATAAATTGGCCATTATTATTAATAATATAAGGATTAGGATATAATAAAAATAATATTAAAATAATTACCTAATTCTATAAATTTCAAAGTATATATTAATATTTAATAATAATATAATTTTATAATAATATAAGCAATTCTTAATTTCTATAAATAATTATAATACCTTAATTATAATTATAATTATAATTTAGTTATAAACCTTTACCACCTGCGTAATATCCTTCCCTCCCCAGCCACAATTACATAAGTCTTAGCAAACTCCCCACCCAAATTACGTAGAAAGTCTGCGCTAAGTCATGCAGGCAGAGGAGGTCTGTGAGTTAAAGATAACCCTTGATGACCTGGATAGGTAATGTGTGTCCTGTTGAGTACTGTACTGCGGGTAGCACCCGGCAGTCTGCAGTACCAAAGATGCGAGTCGGATAGGGGGGAAAAGACCAGTCACAGATGATTGTTGGGACGCCTGCTGCGGTTTACAGTTTACAAACTTCCTCTCGGTCAAAGGGCATGCGGTTCACTCAGCTGTAGAGATGGCAAGCTGTCTGTCTGTCTGCCTGTCTGCCTGCTCTGATAATGTGCCGGGACAATGGCGAGCCTGAACGTGGTCTAACCAAGACCAAGCCAAGCCGGTGCTGGCTGTGCCCAATCTCGGATCTCAGGGCGGGAAGTGTCGTCGTGGATGCGGGGATGAGCTGTCGCATCCTGGCGTCTGGGGTCAAACAAAGCACCGGGCGGCGACCGAGTCCACCCAGGTGCCCCTCAGGCCCTGCTGTGCCCTCCCGTGCCATCGTCTTCGGTGCCTCGCTCGTGCTGTGCTCCCCATCACCCGGGCCCCGGGACGAGGGCCCTGTCAGCGAAATGCCCGTCCATGCCCGTTACTATCTGCAGCTGACTGGTCCCTTGGTGTGAGCCGCTCCCATTGCCCCGGGTGACACAGGCACAGAGGTCGGCCTCGCCCCGCCAGGGTGGCTGGCAGGGAGGACGATGGAGACATGGATGAGGACGGGGTGTGTGAGACCCCTTGGCGGTGCCTCCCCGCCAGTGACCTGCGGATCCGGGTTTTAGCTCCAGTGGAAGCTCCAGTGGAAGCTCCAGATGTCCCGATCTCCTGCCTCGGCGCTTTTCCTGTAACAGTTGCCCGGGTCAAGCAGATGCAGAAGGGACTGGACGGGAGCTTAACGAGACGCTTACCGTGCTAAGAGTCTTGCGCGCACTAGCAGGGTGGTGGACATCGTCACCACAATCCGCAGCGCATCAGCTCGACCACGGCATCCCGCAACCCCGCTTTGCTTTGCAATTGACATTACCACCACCCCTTGGCGCCCCTTTGCCACACTGCTTTGCCTTTGCCTATTTCTTCCAACTGCCGCCGCTTCGTCTCTTCTCAACCGGCTCTCCTCCTCCTCCTTCCACTCTTCAACTTTCCCTTTTTCTAAAGATACCCAACCCAAGCCCCATCCAAAGTCTTCAGCAGAACTGCAAAGTGCCCAGTCACCAACAGCTATCAACCACAATCCGCCACCACACACAACTCCCACCAGCATGTCTCTGTTCACGGAGCTCCAGACGCCAGCAACTGGCAAGTATAAGCAGCCCATTGGCCTGTAAGTTCACCCAAAAGACCATCGTCACTCCCCATACCTCGATAAATAGCTCACACATCACCCCTCCCGCAGGTTCATCAACAACGAATGGGTCGAGGGCGTCGACAAGCAGAAGTTCGAGGTCATCAACCCTTCTACCGAGGAGGTCATCTGCTCCGTCCACGAGGGTACCGAGAAAGATGTCGACATTGCGGTCGCCGCCGCCCGGAAGGCCTTCGAGGGCTCATGGCGGGACACGACGCCCCAGCAGCGGGGTCTGTACCTGCTGAAGCTGGCCGACCTCCTCGAGAAGAACGCTGACCTGCTGGCTGCGGTCGAGTCGCTGGACAACGGCAAGTCCATCTCGATGGCAAAGGGAGACGTCGCCGCCGTCGTCGGCTGCATAAGGTACTACGGAGGTTGGGCAGACAAGATCGAGGGCAAGACCCTTGACATTAGCCCAGACATGTTTCACTACACAAGGCCGGAGCCTGTAAGCCCGTACCCTTAACCAGCGGTTATCCCCTTCGCTTTGCTGACATCACCCGCCAGATTGGAGTCTGCGGTCAAATCATTCCCTGGAACTTCCCCTTGCTCATGTGGTCGTGGAAGCTGGGCCCTGCGCTGGCCACGGGTAACACCGTCGTCCTGAAGACTGCCGAGCAGACACCCCTGTCCGGCCTGGTGGCGGCACAGTTCATCAAGGAGGCTGGCTTCCCTCCGGGAGTCGTCAACATCATTTCGGGCTTCGGCAAGACCGCCGGTGCCGCCATCTCCGCGCACATGGACATTGACAAGGTCGCCTTCACGGGCTCGACTGTCGTCGGCCGGCAGGTCATGAAGGCCGCCGCGTCGTCCAACCTGAAGAAGGTCACACTCGAGCTGGGCGGCAAGTCGCCCAACATCGTCTTCAACGACGCCAACATTGAGGACGCCATCAACTGGGTCAACTTCGGTATCTACTTCAACCATGGCCAGTGCTGCTGCGCCGGTTCCCGCATCTACGTGCAGGACGGCATCTACGACAAGTTCGTTGCCGCCTTCAAGAAGCGTGCCGAGGAGAACAAGGTCGGCGACCCGTTCGCTGAGGACACTTTCCAGGGCCCTCAGGTCAGCCAGCTCCAGTACGACCGCATTATGAGCTACATCAAGTCCGGCAAGGAGGAGGGCGCCACCGTCGAGACGGGCGGCGAGCGCCACGGCGACAAGGGCTACTTCATCAAGCCCACCATCTTCTCCGGCGTCACCCCCAAGATGAAGATCATGCAGGAGGAGATCTTCGGCCCCGTGTGCACCATCGCCAGGTTCAAGACCGAGGAGGACGTCATCGAGGCCGCCCACGACACCAACTACGGTCTGGCCGCCGCCGTCCACACCAAAGACCTCAACACTGCCATCCGTGTCAGCAACAGGCTGAACGCTGGAACCGTCTGGGTGAACTGCTACAACGCCCTGCACCACCAAATGTAAGTCCTCACCTGGGGAATAGCTGTTACCCTCCCACAACGACATCATGCTAATTCATAATCTCCAGGCCCTTCGGTGGTTACAAGGAGTCGGGTATTGGCCGTGAGCTCGGCGAGGCCGCACTGGCCAACTACACACAGAACAAGTCCGTCGCTATCAAGCTCGTATAAGCTGTGGGTCAATCTACAATTTAATCTGGATTGTGAATGGATCAGTGTTGAGAGGAAGTCACCCAAGGCCGAAAAGCAGCGTGTGAAGATCGTTGGCCAAGTCTGTAGCCAGTTCTGTATTGTATATGACTTCACGCATCTCTCACAGGAGATCTGCAGTGAGATATGACGTTCTTGGAGAATTAAAAAAAAAAAAAAAAAAAAAAAAAAGCTTCAGGACAGCCTATGATCAATTGAGTTGTGACAGATCAAATCCTGGAATGGTTGGTGAATCCACAACCACCGTCTCCACCGTGACCGGAATGCCTGGTTGCTAAATAGGGAGTCATGGAAACCAGGGCATGGCCGTACCAATCATGATGTCTGCCCAGACAGGCACGCGATCCGAAGTGCATCCGGCTTTAATCGGCAAGATATCTACAGCTAGTCCAGGAGCCCGCCCAGCTTTTAGGTCCGAACAGAGCAAATATGTGAGTCGCCCTGCCCTGATGGAGAAGGACTTGCCTGGAATTTGAACCCCGAGAGCAGATTTTTGGCTTCTACGGTGTAGATGCAGCATTTGGTTGACATGGGGGGACCACAGCCCACATCATGAAGGCGTCGAGTGAAGAAAAACAAGTTCGTGGGGACATCGCCGACGAGGCAACATGTGCACCACTCTTGCTCCAGCCACCAAATGATGACCCCGCGCTCATGATTCCCAAGTCCTGTGCCGCCGAGGACGCAGATATAGACAGGGAGGAGCACGAGCGAAACAGGGCGCAGGCAGTGGAGGATGAGAAGGCCGAGGAACGAGAGGGAAATGCTTGTACTTCTTCTACGGGTCGCTGATGGACCCGTCGGTACTGCGACACGTGCTCAACCTGGCCGAAAGGCCCCGGCTAAGGCCAGCCTCCATTGTTGGATATCATGTCAAGATGCGGGGTCCTTATCCAGCCCTGGCGCTCACAGATGAAGCTACGAAGACGCTCGTCAGGGGGGTGGCATATGAGATCAAGGGCAGCAAAGAGAAGGACCGGTTAGCAGCCTATGAGACAGGCAATTACAGAGAACATAAGTGTCTCGTCTGTGTGGACGGAGGTGAGCAAAAGGTCTTTGGGACCACTTTCGTATGGGCAGGAGACGACGCACTCTTGAAGGACGGGTCGTTCGATCTCAGGGACTGGCAACAAATGTACTCGATATAGCACGTGTCAGATGGTCCATGTATGATGTATAACAACCAAGTAAATCTTGGGTGACAAAATAGATTCCAAGGTAGATAGATACAGCGGGACCAAGGATCCGGATGACGCTATAATTAGCAGCTCACAACCAACGTCACTGCGGAACCCCGCCAGCGGCCACGGGTGCCCAGGCCTGCTGCTTGGCCGCAATCGACTCGACTTGCCCTGGCAACCGGAGAGCAGAAACCAACCCCCCGCTAAATTTACATCCCGGCTTGCTGGCCGCCCGCCCAGCGAGATCCCGAGCGCGTCAACAGGTCGTCACACGACGCGGGTACGCGACCAGCAGAATCCCCAACCAGCCCCACCCAATACAAACCTCGGCAATCACACGGGGAGCGAGCAGACACAGGCACAGGCACAGGCACACAGAGCACAGCAAGTGGACTCTACACCAAAACAGCCTGAACATGGCGGCATCCAACCCCTCGAGCAGGGCCTACTTCGAACAGCAGCGCGAGGCGCTGATTGGGGAGATAGCAATGGTAATAGCCAAAGCACCTTGGTGCACCCGTTCACAACGCCCCTGCCCAGGATATCATACTGACCCATTCCTCCCCGGAACCCAAGCAGAGCTTCGAGCAGGTCCTGGCAAACATCAACAAGCTGAACCGGAACCTCGAGGCCGTCATCACGGTCGGCAACGAGTTCTCGTCGGTCGAGGCGCTGTGGAGCACCTTCGAAAACGTCATGGCCAAGGAGGAGGGTGAGGGTGATGAGGCAGCGGAGGGAAAGGTAGAGGAGGCAGGCGGTGGTGACGACGAAGAGGGAGAACGGGGCCAGGACGAGATCAAAGTAGACGACCAGGAACAACAAGACCATTGACGGGCCATTGACGGGCATCCAGGGCCGAGTGAGCTCTGCTGTAAAAAGAAACCAGCGCATGCCCACCCTCTACACCATACTGAGCTTGGGTTGCCCTGAATGAGGCGCACACCGCTATCTTCATGGTTTTAAGGCTTCATGAGTGGGCCGCGATGAAGTAGCGCCGAGGACGGAAAGGGCGATCGAGATGGCTAGAGCTGAACGCTTGATGGCGACAGGAAAGACTGATGGACGATAGATACCCGATAGACACCCAAAGCCAACATCACACAACTGGTCATCGAGGCAAGCGCGGTAATTGCTCTTTGGAAAGATTAATCTCGATTGAGGAAGATGAACTCCTGACGTTTCCTATTCTATGCATTGCAAAAACCACGACTCAATATATCCCATGGAAACAAGTGAAACCCGTCCGTCCAATTGCAGAACAGGCCCGGTGTGGGATCGCACCCGATGCGGGTGTCATTAACAGCGTCTAAGAAGGCGTCTCCTTGGCATCGAGCCAGCCGGAGGAGAGACACCTCAAAGCCGTCCATTTATTCCCCTCCTTCCGCCAGAGAGGGAGGTATCATCAACATACAAGGAAAGAGATGACGCGATGTGACAATGCGAATATGAGGCTGTAGTGTTAAAAAAAAAAAAAGCATTGTCCTCCACTGTGGACCGATTTATCACGTCCGTCCGTCCATCGTTTCGTACATCCATTCATCTGCCCATCGTCGTCTTCATCATCATGGCCTTTCGAAGGGCCCGAAGGGCCCGTCCACCCTCTTGCGTTCCTCATTCGGTCTCATGATGAAGTCAAGGAAACGTGTCGTGCCGAGTCCATGAAGGGAAATGTTGGTCATATCGGTTCATGCGTCGTCTCATTACACACCGCGTGTTGCGGTGCAGCTTGGAGCGGCCCGCTGATGAGTGAGGGATAAAGGCCCTGTGCTTTGTGCTTGCAGGGCTCACCGCTCACAGGAAGTTGCACTTTCTCTTCTTCTTTGCGGATGCCGGCGGCACCGGGGATACCGCCGAGGTGGGAGCTGTCCCGCCTTGAGGACTGGCGCTGCGCAGCCTGTGCCTCGAGGTTCCGTCGGTCGTTGGAGACCACGGTGACGATGGCCTGCTCGAAGATCTCGTCGACGCCCTTCATCTCCTTGCTGCTGCACTCCATGTACTGGGCGTTCATTTTCTGTGCGACGCCCATGCCCTGCTCTCGTGTGACGGGTGTCAGGCCCTGGGTCTTGAGCATGTCAATGCACGTCTTCTTGTAGCGCAGGTCGGACTTGAGGCCGACAAGAATGAGTGGTGTGTACGGGCAGAAGTGCAGGACTTCTGGGTACCACTATTGAGTGACGTTAGCGGCGGATGCAGGCCAGGAGGATGGATGCAGGGACGTACCTTGTCCATGACATTGTCAAGGGAATTGGGGCAGTCGATGGCAAAGCAGACGAAGATGAGGTCGGTCTCTGGGTAGGACAGCGGTCGCAGGCGGTCGTACTCTTCTTGGCCTGCGGTATCCCACAGGGCAAGCTCGACGGTCTTACCGGAAGGGCGATGCGTAGGGTACGTGATGTAGTTCTCAAAGACTGTTGGGACGTATTTCTGCGCGAGCTGTCAGCAAGGTGCGCACTGGTGGCGGACGCATGTGAGGCAGGAGGGGTAAGTCATTGTGTGCGCGAGAGTCAGGCACGTCACGTACCTCCGGGAAGTATCCCTGGCTGTAGCTGATCAACAGACACGTCTTTCCGCAGCCACCGTCGCCGACGACGACGATCTTCTTGGAGTAGGCGGGCGCGTCGGTCATGGCTGTTGCTGATGATTCGCGGCCGGATGTGGAATTGCTCATCATAGTGCTGATAGTCCCATCACTTGACCGTTGCTGCCGTCTGGTGCTGCTTGGTGTTTTCCGGCCACTCTCATAGTACTTCTCGTCGTGGAGTGGCTGGTTGTTGCTGTAGTACGAGTTGCGGTAGCTGTAAGACGAAGCCATGCTCACGGATTTTTTTTTTCCGTCTCTCGCTCGCATGCGATTGCCAGTGAATGGCGGGGCCAGACCAAGCTTAAGCACGGATAGCTAGCTGGGACAGGTCGGCTCAGTCCAGGTTCAGGCCAGGCGAGACGCGAGGGCAGTCAGGTCGAGCGAGCAGGCAGGGCAGCACGCTGAGAGTGAAGCTGGTGGAGTGAAATGTGGTGGAGGAGCCAGCAGTAGTTTGAAATGGGAGCAAGACAGGTGTTTGTTGTCTTTGTCCTTTGTGTGCGTGAGTCGACGTATCTCGTAATGCAAGTAAATACTGGTTGCTGTTCGGCTATGCGAGGCGAATGCGTTGCAGCTGTCAATGCATGCAGATTGTTGATAGGCGGGCCCGGTGTGAGCGAGGTGGAGGGGTGTTGCTGTGCTGTGCTGTGCTGTGTTGTTGGCTGGTCCCGAGGTCGGTTGGATGGAGGGCAGGTGGGATGAGTGGGTTAGGAACAGGATGGTTGTTGGCGACACAAAACACACAATTCTGAGAGGGGAAAAGATGAGGAAGGATGCTGAAGTTTCCCGAGGCAGATCGAGAAGAGTCAAGGTCAGAGCAGAAGCAATTGGCGTATTGCGAGAAAGGGGAGGTTGGTATGTGTCTCAGAGAAGCTGGGAAGCAGGATGGGAGGCTCTACCTGGCTACCCTAGCTGCGGATAGGCTGCTTCCTTCGACGTGTGTGTGTGTGTGTTTACGGGTGTCCCCAGCAACGACCAGCAGCCGACCAAGCACAAGCGCAGGAACACTGCACGGCACCGTCGCACGCTTAAGGCATCAGCTGCAGCAGCTGCAGGACGGACAAGCCCTGCACCCACGCTATGGACTGATTGATTTGATTGACTGATTGACTGATGGTGATGATGACGATGTTGCAGCCCAGTCGACCAGCCCGGTCAAGTCGAGCTCAGTTACTCAATCCGTCTTCACGTCATCTGGGTCTCCCTCGTCACTAGGCTACCTGAACAATCCACAATCTGGTACAGCCCGCTGACGGGCAAGGAAGCCTCATGGCTCCACCCGCCTGGGTCCAGCTGCTAGCACTTGTGTGTGTGATGTTCGATGCTGCCGTGTTGCTTGCTGGAGCTGGGCTGCCGGCTGCTGCTCGTACATGACCCGGACCCTTGTAATTCGGTGGCAGGAAGACTGGGGAAACAGTCCTTAACAGGCAACCTTGAGATTTAGCGGTGGCTGGACCGTTTCCGACTGTGCCTGCTGCTGTCCTGCAGCTCCTGCTGTGCCTGTGCTCCTGCCCTGCTGCCCCACCCCCCTGCTGCTGCAGCTGCAGCCTGAGGCCCGGGCTCTGCCAACGCCTCTGCACGCCCCCGTCCCAGGCTCCCAAACTCCCCATCTGTCCTGCCCGTCCCACATCCCACCAACGTCCTACCGCACCAGCGCACCCGCCCCTGCCTGCCCTGCCTGCCTGCCTGTTCCATTGTTTTCGTCCCGTTCCGTCACTGGCATTAACAACCTTGGAACCTGCCAACTGCTCGCAGGTGGCCCAAGCTCCCCGCTTAAAAATTTCAAACGACAACCTCCCTCACAAATTTGGAATCGCGCCTTCGCGAAAATCTCCTCCTCACATCAGCCTCAACCAAGCCTGCAATCCTTGGAGCCTGCGGCACAGCAATGATACGTCGTCTGCTTCGGACCATGACCTGAGCATCAAAGTGCCCTCTGTGACTGACAAAGAGGCCCTGCCTGGTCCTTTGATCGTCATCACCTGCAGGAAGCACCAGCTCCCGTCTGCGAGCATCCACCCTTCTCTCCCCCCAACAAACCTTTTCCTGCCTGCAACTCTGTCTCTTGGGTCTTACCACCACAGTTCAGTCTAGACCACCATTCCCGGTTGTCAGTCGATCAGGATCAGGACCAGGACCAGGACCAGGATCGGCATGGCTCCCAGCAAGTACGTCACGCTCGTCTCGGCCGAGGGCTTCGAGTACGTCCTGCCACGTGAGGCCTGCCACGCCAGCCAGATGCTCAGAACCTCGGTCGATCCCGACAAGCACTTCAAGGAGAACCGGGAGACGGTCGTGAACCTACCCGAGATGAGGTTGGTTATCTTCTCTGGTGGTCACCCTGGCCTGCGGAATCACCCCCCCCTCCTCTTCTCCCAAATCGTCCTTCGCACCAGTGTCGATGATGAATCACACTTATTTCGCTGTGTTCTTTCTGACAGAGCCGCCAACAAGCGGTTCTGGTTGACTGTCAACTACACTTGATCTGAGATGCTTACTCTCCCCTCTCTATCATATCAGGAGACCATCCACTCATCGGTGATGGACAATGCTGACTGAAATGGCACAGCGCCGTCGTCCTAGAAAAGGTAGTCGAGTACCTGCTCTACTGGTACAGATACCAGGACAAGGAAGACGTTCCGGACATGGAGATACCAGTCGACATGTGCCTCGAGCTGCTGACGGCCGCCGACTACCTCCAGATGGACAGTGAGCACATGCTGCAGCCGTCGAGCAAGAGGGCTTGAGAGCTGACTCCCTCCCACAAAGATCAGTTCCGATGAGGTGACTTCCCGCTCGGATTTCTTTTTGTGTCCACGGCGTTCAGGATGACAACACGGTAATGGACCACACGGTATAAGGCAGGGGCAGGCGTCTGGGAACAACCAAATGATCCGTGGCGATACCCTTTCGGTCTATGAAAAACAAATGTCAAGTAGACGGCAAATTCTGGCCATCATATCATTTTCTCTTACTGTCTTGTCGTCCCTTCGGCCGATAACCTCTCCTCGACCCCCAGTGTCGACGGTTAACTCGGATAGTGCCAAAATAGGCAAGACGTGAACTTGTTACGCCTTTGAAAAGGGCTTCCCATCTTAGCATATGCGATCGACCCTTCTCGCACCCGTGGGTTGATTGTCTAATACGGATGGAAGATTGATCACCATTTCCCCCACACTCTGCTTGACTCACAGTGCCCCGTTGAGATCTCGCTTTTTCAGAGGGGAGACATCCTCTCACATTGACCGTAGAACAAATGGCAAGGCTGGCCGCGTCGGTCTCGCTCAAATAAAATAATACATTTCAAAATTTAAGCAGTGTGTGTGGGTATCTCTGCTGTCATGACAATCGTGTAGGGTTGTGAGCCGTGTCTGTATCTTGCGAACTACGGCCACATGTGATTCATCCTGCTTGAGCTCATCATCACCAACCCCTACCGCGTCCGCCTCTGCCGCGTCCTCTCCCTCCGCCTCGCCCAAAACCACCACCATTACAACCACCACCTCGTCCACCTCCCCTCGCTCTGCCTCGCCCACCACCGCGCCCGCCTCTGAAGCCCCAGTCGCCTCTGTCCGCCTCGGGCGGCGGGCCCTCCTGTCGGCGTCGCTCCCTCTCCTCCTCGCTCGCGTCCCACAGGTTCTCAACGCCCAGTAGGGCGCAGAATGCCACCGTCTGCGGGTTGGTGTGCTCCCGCGGCTGGGTCCCCGAGTGTAGCTCCCACAGCTTCTCGTCGGCGCCGTCCACGAGTGCCGGCGCCGTCCGGGAAAAGTTGTGCGGCACGGCCAGCTTGCCCACGCACACGACGTTGTCATCGACCCAAGCGCGCTCCTGGGCGAGCTTGGGCGCGTAGGCTTCCTCGCCCTCGTCCGCGGCTACCTGGGCCGTCCTGTCGCCGATGGTGAGGTGTTGGTGGAAGTGGCGTGTGATGGCGAGCCATTCTCGGTCGTATTGCAGCGAGAAGCGGCCCTGGTAGGGCAAGGCGCTGCTCTTCGGCTGTGAAGGTTCGTCGACGGTGGGCGCGTCGACAGGGTGGATGCCACAGAGCTGTAGGAAGTCCCGACCCGGCTCGCACTTGTTTAGTGCGAGGAAGCGCACGGTCGTGTTGGTTATCGTCGGCGGAACAGGCTGGCCTGGCGTGCGTTTTGGTCCCGCGAAGGGTTTTGGCTTTGGCTGTTGTGTGAATGAGGCCGGGAGCTGGGCGCGAAGGTCATCTGTGGCCGTGGCAGCGGCGGTGGCCTCTACCTGTTCATTCTGTTCGGGAGGTGCGCTGTCTTCGTCGTCGTCCATATCCAGGTCAATCTCGTTGGGGTTCTCAACCGGTGCGTCTTCTTTTGGACGAGCAGTCGATGCCTCGACAATTGGCACCGTCTCAGCTGTGCCGTCCAAGCCGACAGCCTGGGAAGGATGAGGGTACGTCTTAAGAGCAGTGAACTTCCAGTGCATGTGTGCTGAGAACCAGAACGCAGGCCTCAGCCGGTCCATGACATACTCGGCCGCAGGACTACCCAATGACCCATCCAGGCTCTCTTCCTTCCACATGGGCCTGGTGCGATACAGCTGCTGCACGTCACCGTGCTTCTCGACGCCCCTGGGCCAGTCGTGGCTCAGCCCAACATCCACCTGCTCTCTGATCTGTAGAAGCCTGCGCACATCAAACTCTCTGACGTGGTAGAAAGACTTTACGTCATCCCTGCTGAACGGAAGCCTCTCCAGGTGCGGCTTGCGGTAGTCAAATCCCTTCCAGATCCCGCTCAGCCCAGCGATCCGCAGCGGGCCAACACGCAGTACGTTGGCTGCGCCCATGTAGTAGATGTTTGGGGCAACCCAACCGCCGTAATAGAGCTCCCACAGGTATGCGGCGGCCTCGTGGTTACCGGCGATGAAGAGGGTCAGGTACGGGGCGGTGCGAGTCCCGGAGTAGTACTCGTGGAAGTCACCGAGCACGCGGTACTTTGCAGGGACCGACATGACCTCGACGTCGTGGCCATTGCGGGTGGACTGGAAGTCCCCGCATATTATGAGAACGTCGACGCCGGGCCAGCCGCGGGCGTGGGAGGCGGCGGTCACGGCGGCATAGATTGCGTTGAGGGTGCCGTGGCCCTGGGATAGTGTTAGTAGGCGGTGCGGGAAAGGGCGGGTGGTAACATGGTTCTTACGCAGCCTTCGATGGCTACCCTCACGCCATCCTTCTCAAAGAGACCAGTCTTGGCGGTGTCCTCCATCCTCGGTCTCCGGCTGGAGGTGAGAAGTCCCCGCGACGCTCCAAGGCCTAGCTCGGTCGAGCAATCTTGGCTGTAGAACAATGTCGCTGTGTCCCTGTATAACACGCGCTGTGTTGCGGTCGCGGCACTTGGACTGCAATTCCAATACAAACGAAGAACAAGGAACTCTCATTCCACCTCGCAAGAGTTTGGATTCTTTTCAGAGCAGTCGGGACTTCAGGCTGTCGTTTGGACAAGTGGTGAAAATTGCACTGAGTGAGCGAGCTCTGTTAGCTGTGCCTGGTCTGTGCTTAGCTCATCACGGCAGCGGCCAGGGAGTGTGGACGGCTCCTTCCTCCTTCATAGACACTACAACTCTCACCTGCTTTCATTGCTTGAGAGTCCCGTAAGAAGCCAGACCGCTGGCACTACTAATGTTGCACTCAACAGGAGAATCATGAGGCCGTGCCAACCAAGACCTTGCCTGCTTAGCATCCGACGACGGCCGATTCCAACCAGCGCACAATTATGAAATGCATACAGAATAGCCAACACTTCATGAGCGTGACTTCCTTCATTGTCACTACGCAGGCTATCGCATACATCGTCTAAAAATACACCGCCAATCGCTGTTGGTTGTGCATCGCAGCTTGCCCACACATCTAAGAAGTCGGGCCCAATTGTCAGCCCTGAGTAGCTGTCTCCCGCAGATCCTTGGGCACCGCCCACCCGTGAACGCCTGCAAACCGGATGTATGCATCAAGCGCCTCGTTGGCACCGTAGTCGAACATTTTGGCTGAGGTTTCCGTGGTCTGCAGGTGTGCTGGGCGCTCCGTCTCACTCATGGCCATCCTGATCGAGACAAAAACGGTGTCCATCCTCGTCACTGGGCTCCATCCGGACGTGGTGAGAAGTTCCATGCAAATAGCGCCTCCGATCGTGATATGCCCGCCGCCTCCCGAAGAGAATGGCAAGAATCGGGGGCGGACCACACGCACAAACGGCGGCGAGTAGGGGTAGTCTCGTCCGAAGCGCACCTCCAGGACGATCGACGTGATCCCAGCCTTCTTCATTTCCTTCGCCAGGGGGAGCTCAGGATCAAAGCTGTGAAACTCGACGATCCACTGGAACATGTTCTCCATGCTGTCAAAATCGATGTACCAGCCGAGCTCGTGCAGCGGGGTGCTGGCCTGGACCTTCTGCATGTGTTTGATCTCTCCAGCCAGCGTCTTTGTCGAATTACCATCGGCCCATCCGGGCATTGGAAGACGTGGGAAGCTATTGAGGTCTAATGTGCCCGCCCGGAAGTCGGTCTGTGGTGGTGTCAGTGGTCTCTGAGTCGTGACCTGACGAGCTGTCGCGCTATCAACGCTGGAATCCCGCGCAGAGTTAGATCGCTTAGCAGGGGGTGGCGACGGCCCGTCCTCGTCCTCCTCGTCGAAGAAGAGAAATTCGAGATCTGAGACTTGCTCTTCGTCTATTTCTCGCGACGAAGACATTGGCTCGTGGGCACGCTTCGACGAAGATGGAGCTTTGGGCATCTGCTGCTTCCTCGTCGGTACTGCTTTCAAAGGGATGGTGAGGGCTTTGCCATCCGGTCCCATAACGGTGCGTATAGGATCTTGGGCGAGTGTAAGGTCTTTCGTGATCTCGTTTGCGGCACCTTTGGCGGGAGCAGTCGAGGCAGCAGCGCCGTGCGATCGCTGGGCAAAGAGGTAACGGCACTGGATCCAGTCGACCTGCCCGACCACCAGATATGGATTAGTCGAGACAAAACGCTCGGGGGCATTCACAATCTCGCACAGGGAGATCACACTGGAGATGTTCAGTGCCGAGTTTGGCCAGCGACCGGTAGCGTCAGGGGCGGCGTAGCTTTGGCTAGTGCCGTAAAGCTGTGAAAAGTAAACGCCATTGCCAAACGCCCTGCCGTTAAGTACATCTTTGAAGTCTAGACCGTAGCGAAGGATGCTGTGCCTGAGGGAGGTCAGTAAGCTGGCCGTCAGGGAGCGGGCGATTAAAGTCAACCCGATGGGAGCGGAAGAGGGCAGGGATGTGTGGGCGGCACAAGCCTGGTGAAGAAACGGCAGAGATACACGTACCAATTGGACAAGGCACTTCCGTGCCAGGCAAATAGGGTAGGGTAGTCAGAGTTTCGCAGTTTGACTTCTTTTAGAGCTCGGTGGAATCGCAGCTCCTTGTCCGGGGCGCCTTGGGCAAACCGAAACTGGACGACATCCCCCAAGGACGGGATGGCCTCTTGGTCCCGAGTCTTGATCGATTCAAGAAGGGTTCTATCTTGCGCGTGGGAGTCTTCCACGGGAGTCACCTGCAAGATACATGAGCGGTTGGATGCCACGATCCACTCCAAAAGTGTCACAGCTGCAGGTGAAATGCCAGAGTATGACCTCAATCTGCTATGCGGGTTCTTGATCAAATACTCTCGCAGCAAACTGATGGGTGGGAGGGACCTCAAGATGGTGGCCATTGAGCGTGCTTTCCCGGTATTATCGAGGTCGTCGAAGTCGGTGTCATAGAATAGCAAATCCATCTCGACCGGCCCAGAGGCCTCCATTGGTGCCGGAATGTTGACATCGACATAGAGAGTCCGGGTTTGGTGGTCGACGTACTTGATACGTCCATGATGGTATTTGGGCTCGGTATTGGAAAGATGATGTACATCCCCGAAAGGATGAAGTAAACCCTCGGAAGGATGAAGTGCACCCTCGGAAGGCTGAAGTACCTTCTCTCGCAGCGTAATCCACGTGTCCGGGGCGATGCGGCCTAGATCCGTACTCGACACGGTTACCGCACCGTTTCGCAAATCGGCCAGGACCTTGATGACGTTGGTGGGTGCAGTGGTTGCTTCGTTTGAAGCGGCCGTGGTAGCGTCGGTGGATACTGGGGCCGTGCTGCCGGCCGCAGTTGTGGTTGAGAAGGTAACACTGGAGGGGTCTGGGATCTTTAGGTGAAGCCCACAGGGAAATTCACGAATCCTATATTGTGCCTGCCCTTGGTTGAGAAAGGCAGGGTGATTCACTCTCGGGTACTGAACGCTGCTATAGCACAAGCTGACAAGGAGGTCCACGACATATGGCTGTGTCAGAATCTCGTGCTCGATGGACGGCCCAAAACCCATCGCGAGGTACTGGAACAAGCATAAGGGGTTTGAGCAGACAAAAGGCTTGAGGGCCTCAAACTCCGTTCCGATATGTTGGTGGCAGCGCAGGCAGTACTCTGTACACCGAGAGAAGTAGTGGACCGCGAATTGCATGACGATCAAGGGGGTGCTGCATTGTTCGAGGGGGCGAATGGCGGTGGCATCCCACATTAGGAAGTTTGGAACGGGCTTGAGTGATGGCGTCTCTTCATCTGTCTCCGAGGCGGGGACCGCTGCTGTTGCTTTTTGCTTTCCCTTCGACTTTCTCGTCGGCCTTGCCTTCTTTGTTGACTTGGATTCGGGTCCCGTCGCCTCCTCCACATGATTGGCCTTAGCGGCTGATTGATCATCCCAAGTTCTTGAGGACATGTTCCGGAATTGCTCGTTGGCATCGTCCCATGAGTAGGCCAGATTCTGAAAACGAAGCTTGATCATGGACAGGCATTGTTCGTTCATGAATTGCTCGAGGGAGCTGGAAATAAAAGTCTTCTCGAACGTCCGGCCCTGGTCATCCTCGATAGTTTGCGCTTTGGCATCGGGTGCGCCATGGTTCCGAGAGGTCTCGGCCAGGAATGCTGCTCGGGCTTGCGCGGGCGACGGTTTGTACTTGACGCCCTTGCCGAAGCGGAAGTTGACGTTGTAGTTAGCACAGGGCTTTTCAAGCAACTGTTCGGCACAGGGGTACAGTCCGTCAAATTGGACCAGAAGAATGATGTGGTCAGAGATCTCCACGTCCCAGGCCTCGAGAGCCTCCTGCGATAGACCCAGTTCACTGGCGCGTATCGACAGGGAGAAGATGTGGGTTCCAGAAGAGAGCTGTAGGCCGTCCAAGATACCGACCTTGCAACCTGCATCTCGTGCGCTGCGCAGGTCAAGCTTGATTCTTCGCAGCATGCTGGAGGCCAGGCGAGAGTATGGTCGATGCTGGCTGTTGGTGCGAATGGGTGATAGACCGAATAATGGATCGGTGAAATCACCATAGAGATCATCCTCCATTAAGTCATCCGAATCATGGGGATCACTTGGGTCTTCCATGGTGATGACTTGGTCAACGTCGACAGAGCGGAGGGCGCGGTCTAGGCATGTCGACAGTGTCGTGATAGTCTCGAGAAGCTTCATACCAGAAGTATAGTCCCGCAGGTCCTCTAGAGCTGAGAGGACACTGGTGGGAATGTTTTCGGAGGCTGTGAAGATGAGAAACTTGTTGTCGTTCGGGTACTCGTCAAGACTCTGGGCGAGTAGCCGGATGGGGAGGGGAGCGGGCATCTTCTCGTGAGCGACAGTGACGACGACTTCACCGTCCGAGTCACCACGCTCGATAGCGAAGACTCCTGGGATTCCATCATCTTCAATCCGAGCGCGGACGGCCCGCACATCGGCGTTGAACCGCTTCAGAGACATGGAGGCAGTACAACAGTGGAGATGTGACTGTGACCATTCGTCAGAGTGTGATAAACGGGGCTACTTGCTGTGGAAAGCAGTTCAGTTTAGACGACGCGCGTGCTGGTTGACTGCAAGAGTTTGAAAAACAGTTTGTTTCGTGGTCGTGGTCCTGTGCTGTGAGGAACGCCTTGTGGGCATGGGAGGGATTTGCAGGATGAATATGTTTTAGGTGGTAGGAAGGTGCAGGTGGCCGTAGAGGCGAGGCATATTCATGTGATGGTGATGGTGATGGTGATGGTGATGGTGATGATGGAAAAGCTACCCTGGTCTTGGTGAAGTACTTACCGAGACGAAATATCCTCCCCGGGAGGCGAGCCGATCAAACCCCAGGTTGGAAAACGGACGACAAAAGAATGAATGAGATAGATGCTAGAATGTGCGGCGTGGACTTGGTGCCAAACCAAAGTCTGCCATCAAGACACTCTGTGACGGGAGCGTACCTTTGGGACGAGGCGGGCAGTTTGTCAACCTGAGAGAGTCGGGGCCTGGAAGCCCCAGAGACGAGGTGTACCTTTACGAGAGTGAGATGAGCGGGATCAAGACAGGCTCACGGTGCAGCCTGCTTGTTCTGCTTTATCCTGCATCAAGTCGAGTTGGCCTGCTCCAGGGAAGCAAAGGGAAAAAACGGACAGCTGTTTGGGGGAATAGGGGCGGTGGTCCTCTGTGTTGTCGTTGTCGACTGACAAGAGGGTGGAGGGTGTGTTGGCGGGGTCTTGCTCTTGCTCAAGCTCAAGGCAGCAGCAACAGTAGGGGCTCTAGTACTCGCAAACCCGCAAGGCCCCCAGATGAGTGACTTCCAGGACTCGACGAGTTGTTGCACCAAGTACAGCCTCCGTTCACTTGAATGCAGCTCAAAACGTCAATTGAGACGGCCACTGCGCGTCCCTCATCCTGTCCCTCATCCCGTCCCGTCCCTTGCCCTCCTCATCCAGGACTCCCCTCACGTTCTGCCTCCTTCCCCTCTTCCTCGTCCTCCATACCTCACTGCAGGAGCAACTCCAGAAGCAGCAGACTTGATCCAGGACATGGCTTGGGAGGCAAGCACATGTTGACAGAGGGGACAGAGGATAGTAAAACTGATGCCTATCGCCCACCGTCTAACCTCCAGGGTAACATCGATGACAGGATGCCAGGCGACTGCCTGTAATATGTACCTGCTGTCAAAAAGAGTAGTCTACTGCGTAGTAAGCGCCTGCTCCACCTCTGCCCGAAATGAAACAACCCTGTCCATCTTGAGAGGATCTACGGTCACATCACCCGTGCCCCAGGCAGGGATGCCCCACCAACGAGTCCCCACCGCGGGGCTACCACAACGACATCGTAGCATCCTCACCTCCGGCCAGCCCCCGATGGAGACGTTGTTGCACAATTCCACAACAAGTCGGTTTGAATATCCACGACATACCTAGACACTCCCCACCACAATGCTTATCAAGGAGTCCCACGCGGATGTGACGACTACCGTCAATGGTGTCGAGAGCTCCATGAGAATCTTTGTTTTCCACCCCACCATTCCTCAGTATCCCAACGCGTATGCATGTGCTCCTCTCGTATCAATCACTCCTTGAATCCGTCTTCCGCGTGGCTGTGTCATTCTGACCAATTCATCTGTTTCTCCCTTGTTTATTATGCTAACACTCACCCAGCCGCTTTCCTGGTGTCCTTCTCTTCAGCGAGATCTACCAGGTCACCGGCCCGGTCGCTCGCTTCGCCCGCCAGATCGCCGGCCAGGGCTATATTGTCGCCGCCCCGAGCTCGTATCATGACTTTACCGGTCCTGAAGCGCTGGCATACGATGTTCCCGGCACAGACCAGGGCAATGCCTGGAAGGTCAAAAAGGCATGCCCCCCTTCGTGCGCTCGGCCACAGGGCTGGAGGACAAGGACTGACATCTCTTGAGTTCGATAGACGCTTGAGTCGTATGACGAGGACTCTTACAAGACCGTGGACTACCTCCTGAGCCTCCCAACATGTACCGGCCTCATTGGAGCTACGGGAATGTGTCTTGGTGGGCACCTCGCGCTAAGGGCAGCAGTAGGTCTAAATTTTGGTCCCATGCTCCCAAATCATACACTCGCGCACGCTGGAATGCTGACCACCAGATACAGCTGGACCCCCGAATCTCTGCTACAGTCTGCTATTTTGCAACAGACGTCCACTCTCGCACCCTAGGTCCTTACGACAAGCCCGATCTCTCCGCCACTGCGCCCTCCCCGGACAGCATCCACACCATCGACCTCCTCGGCAAGCTCAAGGGCGAGGTGTCGCTCATCTTCGGGCTCAAGGATACCCATGTGCCGGATGCCGGCCGCGACCTGATCCGCGCCAAGCTGCGTGAGGCCGGCGCCGTCTTCAGCTTCCACGAGTTCGCCTGGGCCCAGCACGCATTCATCCGCGACGAGCTCAGCAAGGGCCGCTACGACCCCGCCATCTCAAAGGCCTGCTTCGAGGTCCTACTCGAGCTGTTCGGCCGCACTCTCAAGGTCGACCTCGGGCCCAGGGACGGAGCCCCCCAGAAGCTGGAGCACGTCTGCTAGGTGCTGAGGCGATGAGTGACAGTCGGTTTAACCCGCAAGGGAGTAGTAGGGGGGCGTCTCAAAAGTGTATTTAGAGTGCGGGACTTGCTCATTTCCGACTCAAATTCGAGGTATCTCAGAATGACAAGGCAGAAAATGCATTATTCTCGCATTGGGTGAGAGAAGACCAGGTCAAATAACCGCTCAAGGTTGATGTTTGTTTCGTGAGTGTGCTAGGATGGCAACCTCAATGGATCATCATTCATTCATCTATCGCCTGATTTACGGCCTCTACTCATAACCCTGCTACTGATGCTGCACATGCGCACAGGACTGCCACTGCTGCTGTCGTCGCGTGAGTCAGCCGGCATATAAGATAGCTCAACCTCGTGCTCCACGCGGATGATATTCTCGGTTGAGGAATTGCGATCCTCGTCTTCACTCGCCCCTGCCAAGCTCCTGCTCGTCGCAGCCCTCGTGGTCGCCCGGCTCGCCTTGCCATACTCGAGATCCTGGCCGGCGGTGTCCCCCGAGACTACCGCCCCGGCTCCGTACGCCGTCCTTGGGCTCGCCCAGGACCCGAAAATGAATGCGTCCATAATAGGCAGGTTTGCTGTGACAAGGCCCATGCAAAGGTCGACGCTCGTCCAGACCAGGATTCCCGTGTAGTTGAACATGATGTCGGACGCGTACTCATCGTTCGACTGCGTCTGGCGAAGCAGGCCTCCAAGGACGCTGATGGCGCCGGCGATCCATATGAAGAAGAGGCGGGCTTTCTTATACACGTCCATGCGCACCGTCCAGAGTATCACGATCGGACTGGCCAGCAGTACCACCTGTTGCACCACGTGAATGATACTCATAGCCCATGCGCGAGCGTAAACGTTGCCGCATATCGCCGGCGTGGCCAGGGTGCCGGCGTAGCGGATGCTGAACGACGCCTTTGGCTGGTTGGTGCAGGAGAAGACGGACCAGAAGATGGCGAGCAGGATGTAGACGACCAGCGTGGCGAGGAAGATGTCTGCCGTTAGGGCCTTCCACCGCGCGTGCGACTTATCGATCAGGCGGCGGATGAAGAGGGTGATGGAGATCTTGATCAGCCCCACAGAGATGTAGTAGGTGAGCTGGGATATGGTGCCGTAGTACCAGAACACTTCGAATTGGGTATATCTCACGTCCCAGGTGTGAAGACCGCCGCCTCCGCCGGTGATCATTACAATTTGATAAATAGGATACGTGACTGCTACACACTACGATTTGGTCACCGTCTTGTAAGCATTTGCTCCATTCTTTATCTCTTGACTGTCCACAGACTGACTATGCGGGCAGCTCGAGGGGCTGGGGTAGATTTACAGATGCAAGCAGGACAGTCCAGTCATCCCAGCCGAAGTGGAGCATCGGCTTGAAGGCCCTGAGGGCGAGTCTTGTGGCAGTAGACGCGATGATGACAAAAATCACTATGGCCATACCGGCAATGATGGCTGGCTGCTTGGAGTTGTGCGTGAACTCGGCTGGGGTGGCGTATGCAGGCACAAAGCCCAGGCTCGCGTTGGCGGTAAACAAGCCATAATAGCGGAGGATTCCACGAACGATGTGGTAGTCGTCTGCTTTATTGGGCGGCTGGCCGAGAAAGGCTGAGGTCACGGCGCTGCTGCTACTTGTTGACATGGCGTTACCACCAGTGCAACATCACCAATAACGGCAACGGTCAAAGAGAGTGTTTTGGAAGAAAGACCTGCCATCTCAAAGCGCTGATTAGGTCGGAAGACAGCACCACGCGAGAAACACTGATGGGGGCCACCCGGCGTGAAGAATCCATCCATCCTCTTTTTGGAAACGAGGATATGCCTGCTGGATGACTGGGTCAGCCATATACGCGCAGCAGGTTCAAGTCATATAATTAGCGGGATAAGGTCTCGCTCCGTAGAGCACGGTGGAGAAGTCAGTACTGGGCTCATCTACGCATGACGTGGGTGTGTGTTGAGAGACCCCGCTTGTCAGGCCTTGGTTTTGCATTCTGGACGCTGTTGTCTGTCAGGTCACCCTCGTCCAACAAATGGGAGACTTGATGGGAAGCATCAGTAGTCCCACTCTGCGGAAGTGACCGAGTCAAGTCTGCCAGCGGGGACGCAACTGAGGCCGGCAATTTTGCAGCTTGGAACAGGATCCGAGAGGCTTCTGGCCTTCTTTGTCAACCCTAACCTTGTCCATAGCCCTTTTCTTGATTTGGGGCAAGATGTGGTCCCGTACTGGAAGTCATGGGAAAAGACGTGTTCCCATCCCGCCCTTTGCTCAAGTGTCATGCCCCGTTCCGGAATTCCGATGCCAAGGGCGGGTAGGGTGGTTTAGAGCTAACACTATTTATAAACCCCAGTTGGCAATACACCCACCCTATACTTAATATACCTATCCTTATAAATAAAAAGCTTTAAGTTTAAATTATATTATAATTACTTTTATTAATTATTTTTTAAAAGCATTTTTAATATTTCTTAATAAAAATTAAAAAAAAAATTATTTTAAAAGATTTTAAAAGATTAAGAAAGATTAAGAAAGATTAAGAAAGATTAAGAAAGATTAAGAAAGATTAAGAAAGATTAAGAAAGATTAAGAAAGATTAAGAAAGATTAAGAAAGATTAAGAAAGATTAAGAAATTAAAAAGAAAAAGAAAAAGAAAAAGAAAAAGAAAAAGAAAAAGAAAGAAATTTAAAAATTATATATATATATAATTTATTTTAAATATATTATTAAAGTTTTTAATAAGTTTTTATTTTATAATTATATATTATATATTTTATATAATTTTTAATAACTTTTTTTAATTTTATATATAAAAGCTTTTAATATATTTTTTAATATACTTTTTAATTTTTTCTTAATATACTTTTTATTTATTCTTTATTCTTTTTTTTCTTTATATTTTAAAAATATTTAAGCTTTTTTTATTATATAATTAATTAATAAATATTAAAATTATTTAATTTTATTAATAATTATTATTATATAAATATAAAAAAAAATATAATTTATTTATTTATTTTTTTCTTTTTTTTATATTATATAATATTTTTAAATATATATTTATATATAAAGTATTTCTTTATTTTTATTATTAAATAAAATAATTAAAAGTATATATAAAAAGCTTATATTTATAATTTTATATAAATAAAAAATTATAATATAAATTAATTTTAATTATATAATATTATTTAATATTTTTTAAATTTTAAATTATATTTTTTATTTATAAAATTAATTTTTAATTTTTAAATATTATAATATTATAATAAATTTTTTTTTATAATTATTTAAATAAAAATAAAAAGATTTATAAAAAATGCTTTATATATAAGTTTTTAATTAATTAAAATTAATTTTAACTTTAAAATTATTTAATATATTTTAATTATTATTATATAAAAAAGAAATTATTTTTAATAATTCTTTTTAAAAGCCTTTTATATAATTTAAAGCTTATTAAAAAGATTTTAAAACTTTTAATATTATTTTATATTTTATTTAATTTAATATAATAAATATAAAAAGTTTTTTATTTAATTTAAAAAATTATTTTAAAAAATTATATAATATTAATTATTTATAATTTATAACTTTTAATAATATTTAATAAAAAAATTATATTTTATTATAAAATAAAATATATAATTATATATATATATTTATATAATTTTAGTTTTATTATTTTTTTTTAAAAATATAAAAATTAATTAAATATTTATTAATTTATTATATATATAATATATTATTTATATAAATTAAATATATTATAAATATTATTTTTTTATATATAAATTATTTTTAAAAAAAGTTTAATATATAATATAAAGTTTTATTATTAATATTTATATATATTATAAATAAAATTATATATATATATATATATATATATTATATATTATATTTAAATATAATTAAAAATAATTTAAGCTTATAAAAAGCGCTTTTAATTATAATTAAATATATATAATAAATATATAAAATATTTTTTATATAAAGATTAATTAATTAATATATTGCTTTATATTTATAATATAAAAGAGTTATATATTTTTTTAGCTTTTTAATGCTTTATTTACTTAATTTATTTATTTATTCTTTATTTTTTAATGTTTTATTTACTTATTTATAACTTTTTTAATACTTTATTTAATTAATTTATTTTTTATTTTTTATTTTTTAATGCTTTATTTATAGCTTTTTAACCTTTAATATTTATAATTAAATATAATAAAAAGGGGTTTAAAGGTTTTTTTTAAAAATTAAAATAATTTTTAAGGCTTTATAATAATTATAAGTTATTTTTTATAATTATTTTAAGTTTATTTTTAATTATATTTATTTTTAATATAATTTCTTTAAGCTTTTTTAATTAATAATATAATTATAACTCTTTTAATTAACTTTTTAAAAATTAAATAAAATTAATATTATTTTTATAATTTTATAAAAAGTTATATAATATTAATTTTAAAGAATTATATTTAATTTTTAATTATATATAAATATATAAAGATTTATATATTATATTTTATATATTTTATATATTTTATATATTTTATATATTTTATATATTTTTTAAATTTTTTAAATTTTATATATTTTATATATTTTATATATTTTATATATTTTATATATTTTATATATTTTATATATTTTATATATTTTATAAATTTTATAAATTTAATTTTATATATTAAATATAAAAGAATTAAAATTTATATAAAAAAATAAAAGATATAAAAAAAATATTAAAAAATATAAAAGAAATAAAAAAAAAAAAAATAAAAGAAATAAAAGAAATAAAAGGAATAAAAGAAATAAAAGAAATAAAAGAAATAAAAGAAATAAAAGAAATAAAAGAAATAAAAGAAATAAAAGAAATAAAATAAAAGAAATAAAAGAAATAAAAGAATAAAAGAAATAAAAGAAATAAAAGAAATAAAAGAAATAAAAGAAAATAAAAGAAATAAAAGAAATAAAACAAATAAAAGAAATAAAAGAAATAAAACAAATAAAAGAAATATAAAGAAATAAAAGAAATAAAAGAAATAAAAGAAATAAAAGAAATAAAAGAAATAAAAGAAATAAAAGAAATAAAAGAAATAAAAGAAATAAAAGAAATAAAAGAAATAAAAGAAATAAAAGAAATAAAAGAAATAAAAGAAATAAAAGAAATAAAAGAAATAAAAGAAATAAAAGAAATAAAAGAAATAAAAGAAATAAATAAAGAAAGAAATATATTAAATAAAGAAAGAAATAAAGAAAGTAAATAATAAATTAAATATATATATATATATATATATATATATATATAATTAATTTATTATTATATTTCTTTTATTAATATAATTCATTAATAAATATTATATTTTTATAATATTTATTAACTTTAATTAATTTTAATATTTATTTAATATAAAAATATTAATTAAATTTAATATTAATTATATTTAATTTATTAATTAATAATAAATTAATTATATTTAAATTAATTAAAAAGAAAGTTTATAATTATAAATTATAAAACTTTTTTTAATTATAAATTATTTAAAAATAATTATATATTATAATATATAATCTTTATTTATTAATTTTAATTTTAATATTAATTATTTATAATATAATTATAATTATATTAATAATATTTAATTAAATAATTAATATTTATTTTTAAAAAATATAAAAAAAATTAAATTAAATTTAGAATTATTAAATTAAAAATATATTTATTTAATTATATTAAATATTTATAAAAATAAATATATTAAATAAGTTAAATTATTATTAAAAAGTTAAAAGTTTATTATTTTAATAAGTATTAAATTAATAATTATAAGTTATTTTTTAATATAAATATATATTAAAATATTTTAATTATATTAATTTATAATATATAAATTATTATAATTATTATATAAATATTTTATTTATAATATATATTATAAATTAAAAATATAATTATTTAATTTTTAATTTTTAATATATTTTAATTTAATTTAATTTTAATTTAATATTATAATTTTAACTTTAAAAAAGTTATAAGTTAATTAATGCTTTTTTTATAAGTTATAAAATAATAACTTTTTATTTATTAAATTAAAAAATATATAATAATTTAAGCTTTTTTAAAGTATTTAATTATATTATATAAAGTTTAAGCTTTTAACTTAAGTTTATTATATTTAATTTTAATAATTAAATAAAAATTAATTAATTATAAAAAAATTATTAAAATAAATTATAAGGTTTAATAAGTAAAGTATTTAAATAAAAAAAGAAAGTTAAATATAAAATATTATTTAATATTAATTAAATTAATAAATAAAAATATATATAAATATTAAATTATAAAATTTAATAAAAAATGCTTATTAAATATAAGTTAATAATTTAAATATTTATAAAAATAATAACTTACATTATTATTTTTAAAAATATAATTTTTAATATATAAATATTATTATATAAATTTTAAATATAAAGTATTACTTTTAAAAGAAAAATAATTTAAAGTTAATTAATTATATTATTTTATAAGGTAATTTATAAATAATTAAAAAAAATTAAACTTTTATTAATTTAATATATTTTTATTAATAAATATAAAAACTTAATTACTTTAATAATCTTTTAATTATATAAT